CCCCCACAACTGTAAGAGAGTCAATGCATGTTTTTTGAGCTTACGTCCCTCTTCATTGTATTTGTCAGTGCTGTAATAAGAACCTAGCATGCTGCCCATGTCCAGCCTGGGCCTCAGGCATCAGAGGCCCCTTTTATAGGCCTCTTCTAGCTGTGCCTCTTCTCTTGGGGTAAAGAATTGATTCTCTCACGTCTACACTAGGCAGCAGGGCCCAGGACCCCAGAATTTCTTGCTCAAGGTCAGTTTCCAGGGTCTGTGTAGCCCTTCCCCAAGTTTGTCCTTTGGAGACCATCTATGCACCTGACAGGCCCACGCCTTGCTCTGAAGAGTCACAGTTGAGGAGGCAGCTGTGCAACGGTGAGCCACTGTGTAGGTGACAGATGGAAACGCACAAGAGCCAAAGCCAGGAGAGCAGGCAAGAGGTCACTGCAGAAACTTAGGAGAGGTGTAATGATAGTGATGGCGCCAAGGGTTAGGATTCAGGGCATATTTTGAAGGTAAAGGCTTTGCTGGTACGTTGGGTGTGTGGTATGAGAAAAAACCAGAGGAGTGAGTGCAATTCCAGGGTTTGTGGCTTGATCAGCTAGAAATTGCCATTAACTCAGATAGTAAATAAGGAATAATGAACACGTTGGGCAGTAAAGGTCAGTGGCCAGGTTTTAAGTGTGTTAAATAAAAGATGTCATTGTGGGGAGGCAGTCGGTTGTTTGAGTGAAGCTTTGCTTTCTCAAAACCTGTATGTTTCTTGCAAAGAGTCTAGAGTCTGGCATTGGGAAATGTTCACCATTCAGTAGGTTAAATGAATGTGTGACATTCAGCTATGGAAATGTTTCAAGATCTAGCCACGGGTTTATATTCTTACATCACCAGATTGGTTAATGTTAAACACCTATCGACGTTACTCAGGTTGGCCAACTGTGTAAGACAGGGTTGTCAACAGCCTGCTTGTTTAGTTTCTTCTTATTCTTGGCTCTCACACACATTTTGATTAGGGCTGGGGCTGATATCGAATATTAATACCCAGTACATTAAAGTCAGATCTGTGGCCTGTGTCTCATTATTCTAACACTAGACCTTTCTTATTGTTCTGACTGCAAGACAGTTTTCTCTGTAATTATAAAATATATAAAAACGTTGACATCTTTGTTCCATCTCTGAAATTGTATTGCTGTTCCACCACATTCGGGGAACTGACAGCCAGAGCTTTTGTATTTTAGTCCAGAATACGTTCCAGACGTGGACAGGACCTGTGGATGCTGAAGAGGCTGTGAAGGCGAGTTCTTTAGAGGCTTTTAATTTGATGAATGAGCAACGACGTGATCTTCACGGGTCTAAATTTACAGACGCTGTGGAAGTGTACCTCTATTGGGAAGGGTGTGTTTTGTCATCTCGTAAAGGTCATGGTTCTGCTATGAGCGGCAAGACCAGATAGCTCGTGCGTTTTCTCTCGTATCTTCCTCAGTCATGCTTTCTTCCTCACTCCCGTTCCTGAAGCTTCTTTTATCATGCTCACCAAGGATGCTTACTTTTCAAAACCTCTAGTCACTTTTAAGTCCTCATTTTACTTACTGTCTCAGCAACACTTAAAAGTGTTTATTTATTTGAGAAGAGGGGAGAGAGAAAAAGAGAGAGAGAGAAGGGAACTCCCACCCATTTGGTTTACTCTCCAAATGCCCATAGCAGCTTGGACTGGGCTGGGTGCTGGGAACTCACCCAGTCTTTCACATGGATGGCAGGAACCATTACTGCTGCCTCCCAGGGTGCACAACGGCAGGAAGCTGGAGTCAGGAGTGGAACTGGGACTCAAACCCAGGGACTCTGATATGGACGTATTATGGGACATGGCATCCCAAATGGTGTCCTAACCACAAGACCCACTGCCCACTCCTTTCCCTCAAACACATTTTTCTTTTTTATTTTGAGACACTGCATTTTCTTGATTTACTCCTATTTTTCTTACCACTCTCCTTCTCCTCTGCTTGATTTTTCTTGTCTCCTTGATTTCTAAACACCTCATTGTCCTGGGGCTCAGTCCCTGGTCCTCTTCTCATCTCTGTCTACAAGTATCTCCCAAGGTGATGCCATCCAGATCCATGTCTTTGTGCCACCTATGCTCAGAGTTCAATAATTCCCTAATTCATTTGTCCAGATTAGATCTGTCTCCTGAACTGCAGTTTTGGATAGCCCACCTCTTTGTGCTTCTGTTCCCTCACCCATAAAGAGGGGTTCATAATAGTCTTTAGCTTGTAAAATTAGTGCTGGGTGTTGTCTGCTTGTACCGGCACACCCACCTTTCGCCCTTCTCCACCTGCTCAGTTGCCAGGAAAGCTGGTCTTTCGTGGATTTCATCAAAGAGTCACCTTGCTCTCTGGCTTCTGATTTAGTTAATGAGATGTACCAACAGGAAGGGAGGGGAGGGTGTTCAGTAATTTATGCCACCAGCTCTTCCCCTGCCAGACCACAAATTGGTAGTGGCTGCCTCCCTCTGCTAATGGCCACAACTCTTGCTGGGTGTTAAGGTGTAAGTCAGCTCAGGTTGCTTTCACTTCCATATAACCAGCCCCACAGCCCTGACTCCTGTTCCCAGTGATCGCCCTCCCCCTTGCCTCTTCTGGCAACCTGGCTGATGCTGGCTCTGGCTAAGCCTTCCCACTTTTACAGGTAGTCCCTTTACGCTAGTCTCCCCAGTCTCCGAATTAAATGGGCCACTGATTTCCTTCTGGGCCCTGACTCATTGAGGATTGTTATGGTGATGAAATGAGCTAATATTTGTAAAGTGCATAGAGCAGCCATGTGGCATTGCTAAGTGCTATGCAAGGGTCGGTGAAACATATAAATGATACATTGCCCGTATGAGCTCTCCATTTAGGTGCCTCAAACGAACTTTTTAAAGTACCCCACTTTTCCTATGCTAATTGAGGTTCTCCAGAGAAACAAAACCAAATGCGTGTGTGTGTGTGTGTGTGTGCACATCCTACCAACAGGCTGTGCAGGTGCATCTGTGTGTGCGGGTGAAGGAATTTATAGCAAGGAATTATGGAGATTGGCAAGGCCAAACCCTGCAGCATGCCCTGGCGGGCCGGAGACCCAGAGTGGATGCTGCAGTTTCCATTCCAGGTCACCAGCTATAGACATAGGAAGAGCCGGTGCTGCTCGTGGAGTCTGAAGGTAGTCTGTCGGGGAGCGACCTCCTACCAGACCTTCTGTTCCCTTCAGGCCTTCAGCTGACTGGACAAGGCCCAGCCACACTAGGGTGGGCAAGCAGCTCTATTCCAAGTCTTTCCATTTAAACCTCGGTCAAAAACATCCTCAAAGAAACACCCAGAATAAGGTTTGACCAAACATCTGGCCTAGCCCTTCTCACCATCCCCACCACTGCCACTGACCTTGAAGCAGCTGTCATTTCTCATGAGGACAGTGGTTTCATGCCTGATCTCCTGTCCTCACTCTGGCCCTACTGGAGACGATTTTCAGTAGAACAGTCAGGATGAGTCTTAAAGTGTAAATCAGATCATATCATTTCCTCATCACTCAGAGTGAAAGTCCAAGTCCCTACAGAAACTAAAGGTTTGAAATGGGGCCCAGCACTGTGGCATAGTAGGCTAAGCCTCCACATGCAGTGCCAGCATCCCATATGGGTGCTGGTTTGAGTCCCAGCTGCTGCACTTCCGATCCAGCTCTCTGCTATGGCCTGAGAAAGCAGTAGAAGATGGCCCAAATGCTTGGACCCCTGCAGCCACATGGGAGACCCGAAAGAAGCTCCTGGCCTCTGGTTTTAAATCAGCCTAGTAGATGGAAAACCTCTCTTTCTGTCTGTAACTCTACCTTTCAAATAAATAAATAAAATCTTCAAAAAAAAAAAAAAGAGCTCAAAATGATCCAGTCCCAACTCCCTCTCCTAATTAATTTCAGACCTGCCTTCCCTTTGCTGGCTGTGCCCCCAGCTATGCTGATCTTCACTGTTTCTTGAACTTGCCAGGTCTGCTCCCACCTAGAGTAATTGCACTTACTGCTCCCTTCACCCATGAAGCTCTTGCCCCCACTTTCTCTTCTGTGTCACACTCTCACTTCACCGAGATTTCCTCCTCAATGTTACACAGCTTCCCTAACCACCCTACCTGAAGGAGCACCCTCTACTGCTTGCCACCCCTCACCCCACTTTATTCTCCTTATTAGCCTTTGTCCTAGCATGGCATTATGTGTTTGTTTATTTGTATGTGGGCCATCTTCCCTACTAGAATGTAATGGGTTGTATTTTCAGCCTTGGAACTGTGCTTGTGTTTGTGGGCTCAGAGCATGCCCATCCATGCCCTCGTGAGCTGTCTTGTTTATCCTCACTTCACTCTGAAAGAAGGGCAAGAGGGGAATCGTCATGCGTGCTCATCGATGGAATGGGAATATCCAGTTCTTAAGAACCTCAAGACACTCTTTCAAAGACAAGAATGCCCTGAGAGGGGATGCTGGGCAAACTTTCATTTAGTTCATGAAGTGATGACGTATAGACTTGCATCTTGGACTCCAGCATTGGAAGAGCTTATTCACTTTATGAGGCAGTACATCTTGCTACAAGACTTGATTGGCAACGATGTACTAAGTCAGCGTGTTTTAAGCATTTAAAATTCTTATCATCCTGGGCCAGCTCACAAGTGCACGTGTGGTGATATGAAGGAATGGTTTCATATATCCTTGGAAACTTGTCTTCCAAACCCAGTGGCCAAGGGAGTGGACCAACTAGCACAGATAACACTAAGAACCCTTTAGAATTCTTTGAGTACAGTTACATGGACATATATACCCTTCCTGCCCACTACAATAATCTGAATTAGACATCTCAGAGAAAATGTATGCATAATAGTGCATATGATTTTTTACATTAAGTTGTTCTCAGAAGGGTGGGGTTACATAATAAACTTAGAGCAAATGCACTCATAACCCAGCTCTCAACTAGTAATTCTGTAGCCAGTCACAGACCCCAAATTATATTTTTATAACATGTTTATTTGTGTACAAAATATGTTGTAATTTGTTGATGCATTGCAGCAAAATATTCTATCACATACAACAAAAATACACCTTTTGCTCCCTTTCCCCTGCCCTGAAAATGGCAACACTGTTTTGGCAGTTCAGCAGCTAAAATAAAGTGCTATTAATTAAGCAGTATTGGAATGTCTTCATTTGACAAATGTGATGTACAATTTCAGTACACAACCACATCTCTGCATTAGCTTTGCACAGACCTGGAAGCTCCACATTCCCAACACCTTCAGAAGATACAAATATTTGTATATATATGTACACATGTATACACTGTATATGTAAAATGCCAACAAGCTTCCTTGTCCTTGTGAGTTTGTTGCATTGGGGTTTATTTCCTCTTTCTTTCCAATGTCAGTTTCACACCACTGGAATCTCAGAGTTCATCCGCAGGCACGGAGAGGCTCACCAAAGGCAGGCTTGTTGGGGGCATGGTGCTGGCGAGAAGACACTGGGGGAGCCCTTCAGACCTCACTGGGGGACCTGGAGCGGAAGGGCACTTTGGACTGGAAACAGCCACAGAACAGGAGCCACAGGGCGCGCTGGATCTCCTGGTTGCGGAAGGCATAGATGATGGGATTGATCATGGAGTTGTAGGTGGCAGGCAGCAGGGTGGCATAGGTGTAGATGGCCGGGTCCTCGTGGCTGCCCACCACGCAATAGATGGCGAAGGGCAGCCAGCTGGCGCCGAAAGTGCCCAGCACCACGGCCAGCGTGCCCACGCCCTTTCTGGTGGCAGCGAGGTGGGGCGGCGCCAGACAGTGTTGCTGCAGCGCGATCTGGTGCGCGTGGCGCCACACCACCTGGCAGATGCGCACGTACAGATGCAGCATGATCCCGAAGACCGCAAAGAAGGCAGCGGAGAGCAGCGCCACGTGGCTGCGCGTCAGCGGGCGCACCACGCTGCAGGCGGCACGCTCTGCCAGGCAGTTCCAGCCGAGCACCGGCAGCAGCCCGAGGCCTAAGGACACCGTCCAGGTGGCGGCGAGCAGAAGGTGCACGCCTAACAGGGTCCGGCGCGAGTAATAGGTGAGCGCGTTGTACAGTGACAGGTAACGGTCCACTGTGATGGCTAGCAGGCTGCTCACCGAGGCGGCAAAGGAGGCCACGAGGAAGCCCACGGTGAGCAGGCTTACAGTCTCCGAGGGCACCAAGTACTGGAACACGAAGTGCAGGATGAGGCCACAGCCCGCCAGCAAGTCGGCGGTAGCCAGGCTGCCCACCAGCACGAACATGGGCGTGCGCAGGGCCGGGGTGGACGCGATGAGCGCCACCACCAGCGCGTTCTCGCCCGCGATCACAGTCCCCGACACGCACAGCAGCACGTCCCATGGATTCACCGCGGGCAGCAGCAGTCCGGACGGGCCCGCCTGCAGCTGCGAGGACAGCTCCAGCGACCCGTTAGCGCCGGCGCCGCCTCCCAGTGCCGCGGCCGCCACAGGGGGTCCCCATTCCCTGGCGTCCGGCGCCCCTGCCACGGTGGCCGCAGCAGCCGCTCCCTCAGCCGCCACCGCCACCACCTGGGACTCGTTGAGCGAGGCGGCGCTGGCGTTCATCGCTGCCAGATGCTGCACCCTGCAGAAAGAGGGAGGGGAAGGGTCAGGGGCGCCCCGAGGCTGTCAGAGAACTTCCTGTGTGCAGGTCCCCTATATGAATCTGGCTCAGCCCAGGACCCCGGAGCAGATCCAGGAAGCAGCGGTTAAGTGCGAACCGCAAGCAAAGACCTGTTGAGTGAGTGCGCACGAAGTGCACGGCCTGAGAGTTTTTGCACAGATGTGCACAGGGATACTGCGCGCGCACGCTCACTCGGGATGGTCCGTCAGTGTGCTTGTGTCTGCACACGCACTCCCGCACTCCCGGAGGGGACGGTCAGCAGTGAGGGTGGGCCGCGGCCGGCACAGCGGGGCAGTCCCTAGGGCTGGGCACGGTGCCGCTGTCCTTGGTGCTGAAAGCGAGGATTTCTGAGATCGCGGAGCCCGGAGAGCCCCGGAGCGCAGAGAGACCCTTGGAAGGAGTTTGCGAGCGGAGAAGTTGGGGTGTGTGCCAGTGGGGTTTGGGTGCGGAGTCAAGCCTGGCTCCGTTTCTCAGGGAAGACCCGTCCCCGGGCTCTCCTACACCCCTCCGCTCCCCAACCACTGCAAGTCCCCCCAGGAGCCGGCAGCTCACCTGGGCAGTCAGGGCTCCAGCAGGTCACTGGTCATGGGCACCGTGGCTGGGCGCCGTGCTGCGCTCCCCGCGCACACAGAGCAGTTGCTGCAGGCGGTAGCCGGGCGGACGAGCTGGGAGCGCGGGCGCGTTAGCTATGCGGGCGCCGCCGCTAGTGAGACTCGGTCCTGGGCGGCGGAGGCTGCCGCGAGCAGCGCGCCCGCCGGAGATTGACAGGCAGGGCGCGGTGACGTCAGGCCGCTGTTCTCGGGTGCGAGCCGGGCGCTTGCTCTGCTCGTCCAGCCTGCCTTCCCCGTTTCCCGCCCCCAAGGGGGCCCAGAGGGTTCCAGGAGGGAGGAGAACCTCCAGGAAACGAATAAGGGAGAGAGAACGGTGAGGGAGAAAGGAGGGAGGGCCGAGAGCGTGAGTTGGGAATAAGTGTGAGGGGCTGGTGGCGCCGGTCCTCCACACAGCCAGGGTCAAAGATCCCCGGGGGACCAGGAGGAGGAGGGGAAGGACGACGAGGCCCGCGCGGTGAGGTGGGGGGAATGACCAGAGAGGAGCTCCTTTAAAAGTTAGAGTTGCTTGAAGGATGGGAACGAAGGAAGGAAAGAAATGCGCCCTTGGACAGGGTGGCTATAGTATGGCCAGTTGAGAAGAGCCCAGGTGAAATGACTGTGGGAGTAGAGAAAAGATGGACAAAAAGGGGGACGGGTGCGTGTTTGAGGGACACACTCTCTGGTTTCTTTGGAGGCCACCTGTGCAATTTCTCCTCTGCCATGCTCTTTCTTGGACTCTACCCAGCAGAATTCAAGAGGCGCTCTGCCCAAGGTTTCCCAGTCTCAGTAGTGGATGGTGTGCCCTTGCTCTTTAATTAAAGACCGGCTCTGTGCCTTGTTAAAAAAGAAGAAAACTGCAAAATACGATTTACTTTCCTGGCGACAGACTTTGCCCAGTTAATTAGTACCCTATAAACCAAATTACAGGACGAAAATAGTGGTAAGTCAGCTGCAGCAAAAATCAGTAGGCAGGAGTTTTATTTTCAGCCCAGTTAAATCATCCTTGTAGTTTAAAGGTGTTTTGTTTTGTCAGGAAAATACAAGCCCACTCATCTTCTTTCCCTTTTCTAATCAGCTAGAATCTTCAGTAACTGTACTTGGGCAAAGCTAAAACAATTGATTCCATCTAAAGCCCTGAAAGGAATGGTTGCACATGAACATGAGAGTGAGAGTTTGGTGCTGAGACCACAGCCATGGTTTTCAAAGATCACCAGGTCTGAATGAAGTGAAAATAGACATTTATTATAGGTGCAACCTCTTCCCCCATGTGCCTTTACTTTTCCTCTCACCCCAGAGACCACAACAAGAAGGAAACAGATACTGAGACTGTCCAAAGGGCTCACTCAGGGCTGCTCTCTTCAAACAAGAGGCCCCTGCCCAGACTGTTCATGCCTCAGCAGAGCTGAACTTGACTAGAGGGGAAAAGGTACACAGGAGAGTTCAATTCTTTGTGGCAGCTGCTGATGCGGTACCATAAAATGAGTTAGCACACAATCTTTGCATTTGGGGAGTTAAAAAAAATTCACGTGCCACCATTTTCATGAACCCAAAACTTGGCTGAAGTTATGAGTTTCTAAAAAGAACCGTGCTGTGTTTCAGTACAAGACTGTCATCCAAGAATCAAGAGTGCTATTTCAGAGCTGTCAAGTGAGCTGTCAAAGCCGCAATAGCGTGTTAACTGAAAACTTCCCAAATGACTCGATTCCTCCTTAATGTCTAAATATGCTCCTTTCTGACTTGTGGCTGACAGTGGGGGGTTGAAACTGAACCCACCACAGGATCTTTGTTGATGTCCTCATGCTTTCACTACTGCCAGGAATGGACTTCTCAGTGGTTTCTAGAGGAAGACTGGGCATGTGGAATCCCGCATGTAAATAGGGTGGAGGGTTTGTAGACTGTCTTAGCTCACACCAGTCTCTCACATGCTAGACCAGGTCCTGAGAGTGAGTGGAATACATTCTTTGAAACTTCCCCTTTTTCCTCCAAGTTCACCTACCTCTTAGAAGGTAGAATATGGAAAAGGAGAGGCTGGACATTGTGGCTCAGCTGTTGAAGCTACTGCTTGCGATGCTGGAATTCCATGTGAGGTACTGGTTTGAGACCAGCGTGCTCTGCTTTACATCCAGTTTCCTGATACTGTGCCTGGGAAAGAAGTGGAAGATAGCCCAAGTGCTTGGGTCTCTGCCACCCATGTGGAGATCTGGATGGAGTTCCTGGTTTCTGGCTTCAGTCTGGCCCAGCTCTAGCCATTGCAGTCATTTGGAATGTGAACCAACAGATGGAAGATCTGCCCCTCTCTTCTTCTTTTCCTCTCTCTCTGTAACCCTGCCTTTCAATAAATAAATAAATAAATACATCCTTTTTTTTAAAGCTGGGAAAGGATAAAGGCATGTTGTTGCCATTGCCTGCTTTGCCCATAGAACCTACACAAGTTCCTGCCCTTCTGGAACACTCAGCCTGTGAACCACGTGACAGTTTCATCCCCAGCCTGACAAGGGAGGAGGATGACACCTGACTTAAAGATAGACAAGATTAGACATCTGCTGGACAAGTGGCCAGATTGCTGTCTCTTGAACATTTGAACTAAGGGACATCGTAGCGATGGTCAGTCAGTGTTGGTTTCTGGACCTGAAAGATAGTGATAAGTTAAGGAGGTAGTCCCCCCGTGTGGCTTGGTGGGAAACGAGCAATCCGATGAAGCTGACTGCAGTGGAAGAATGAGGTAGATATGCATAGAAGAACAGAGGTGAAGGAGAGAAAATGGCTGAGAGATGGAGGGAGTTACTTCAGTTGCTGAAACTCTGAGTCCTGGCTCTGAAAATTCAGACCCCTGGATGCCTTAAAGCTACCACTCTCACTGTACTCTCCGTCTACAACAAACTCTGCTAATTCTGACCTAAACTGGGGATTTTCTATTCTGTGAAACCTACATACTGTCCAAAACACATAACTAAATGAGTTATTCATCCTCCAGCTTGTCTAGTTCTGGTTATGTTTTGGCTCTTCAGTTTGCTGTCTGACTGGCAGTCACAGGTTGAACCCTGTGACTGTTATGACCAGCTCAGTGGTGTGTTCATTATATTTGCAGGTGCCTTGGTTCTTCTAATTCTAGCACTATCCACTCATATACATGAGGAAACTCCTTGTTTGAGCTTATGCCTGGAAATCAGAGCCTGCTAACCACTACTCTTATCCTGGCTGCCTTTGGTATCTCTTTCCCATCTCAGCCTACACCATCTTGTAAAGCTACCCATCTCTTCACCGCTCACCCAGTGATTCTGATTCATTTGATCTGCAGTGAGACCGATGAATTGTATTTTCCAATGACTATAAAGAAAAGCCAGTGTAGAGACCCTCATCTAAGCAATCATACAATCTCCCTGTCAGTTTAGTGTGCAGTGAAGCTCCAGAAATGATGGGTTACAGTTTGGAATAATTGCAGTAAAGGCATGCTGGCGACCATCCATCTCCTGGTCATGCAGAACCATTTCAAGCTTAATGCACTGGCCAGGCCTCCTCTGCAGACCTTTCATTTTCCACATTTGCATGACCCTCTTTCTGTCCCCTGCTGTAGGCTGACATTCATTTCTCTCTTGTCCCTGATGAACCCAGAGGCAGTTTCAGGGAGTACTAAACTCTGGTTGCTCTGTACCCTTTATTTTGCTGTAGATTTCAAGATGCTTCAAAATCTGCCTCTTTTCTCTGTTCTGATCTCACAGTTACTTCCCAGGTGTGCTCTCTCCTAGCCCAGATCTTTTGCAGATCAATTGTTTTACAAAATCAGAGCTGTAGTCAAACTGTCTAGACTCTTATAAAACCCAACAAACATGGCAGACTAAAAAGTCCGATCTCTCTGTCCCTCTCTCTATTAGCATCTGCATGCAAACACACACACACAAACACACACACACACACATATACACATACGCATACACACACACAGTTCTTCTTTGTCCTTACGGATGACTAATGTAATTTTCTACTGGGAAGCAGAAGTCTATCTGGTCGCACACAGGTACTTAGGCTGATGACTCAAGAAGACAGCAGGTGCATGGTGGGACGTATGAAGCTGGTTGTAAAGAAAGAGTGGCTCTAAAGAGATAGAAATCACAAATTTTACATTCTTTGTCCGGATCCAGAGCGCCAGATACAGTGAAATTTCTTGGGGACACACACTTATGCAGATGGATGCTACCCCAAATCTCTCCTTTTTGTCTGCTTCCACCTGCCCCTGAGTTTCCCATAGTTCTTCAACATCAGTGGTAGATTGCAATTTCCAAAGAAACCACACCCTCAACATTTGCAAACACATTAAGAATGTCTCTGCTTCAGGCCTGGTGAGGAGCCTCCCCTGCAAAGGGCTGGTGTCCCCACCAATGTCCCCACACAATGTCCCGCACAATGTCCCCACCAGACCTCAATAAGGGCAGGCCACCATCCAGATCTCTGCATTTCTGTGAGATCAGAATGAAGAAAAGGGGTCGATGCTGAGATACACAGAAATCCTCAACAGAACAGAGGGGCCAGGACAACTTTGATCTGGAGTCAGGATTTAGTACTCTCTGGTAGGGGCATTGAGTTTATCAGGGACAAGAGAGAGTCAAGTGGGGCTGGCATTGTGGCATAGCAGGTTAAACCTCTGCCTGCAGTGCCAGCATCTCATCTGGGCACTGGTTTGTGTCTCAGTTGCTCCACTTCTGATCCAGCTCCCTGCTGTGTGCCTGGGAAAGCAGCTAAGGATGGCCAAAGGTGCTTGGGTCCCTGCACCCACGTGGGAAATCTGGAAGAAGCTCTTGGCTACTGGCTTAGGCTCAGCCCAGCCTTAGTCATTTTGGCCATTTGAGGAGTGAACCAGCAGTTAAATGATATCTCTCTCTCTCTCTGTAACTCTGTCTTTCAAAAAAATATTTTTTTTTTTCAGAGAGAACCATGCGACAAGATACAGAATGCTGTGCAGGGCAGTTGACATTTTAATTCAGATGGAGAATGACTTTTTTTTGTTTTCATGAGAAACAAATCAAGAAAAATGATAGTTTTAAGGGCATATGTGTCTTTTTCCTAAGGAGTAAAAATAGGTGCCAGCGCTGTGGTGCAGTGGGTTAACTTGTGGCCTGCAGAGATGGTATCCCATATGGGCACTCCCTATCCAGCTCTCTGCTCTGGCCTGGAAAAGCAGCAGAAGATGGTCCAAGTCCCTGGGCCCCTGTACCCATTTGGGAGACCTGGAAAAA